TAATATCCACCTCTAATAATCAAGTCTGCACCACCTTCTCTTCATGCTTACCCATCTTTAAGGTGTTTTTAACCTATTGGCTACACTGCAGGAGCCTCAACATACCATCTTCCTCTACTAGGGGTATTTCTAGCTACGTCACCCCTTCAATGACTCAGCATCATGTGAATAATTAATTATACATAAACATAGCTTGGAGCTATGGGACTTGGAAATCAGTAACACCACCCAAAAAAAGCTACAGCTTGTAATTGGGCTGCCTGAATGTGCAGCATGTGCAGGACATACAATGCAGTGACTGAAGAGTCCAACGAGAATTACTGAAAGCACTTTTCAGTGACCAACTAGGACTGGATTCCTTCAATTCCTATCACAAAAGCATTTATTACTAAAAATGTTACCGTATGGTGAATTTTACAATTCAGTGGAAACCCCACTACAAACCTGCAGCAGTGGAAGTAATTTTGTTGAAACATTACTGTGTCACCAACTACATCACTGCTTACAAAGAAACATTTTTCTAATACCAAAATTCATTTAGGCACAAGCACTGGATTATACCTAGCAGTGCTGCAATCACACCCACTCTTACCAAACAAAAAAGGAGGGGCACAAAGCTAATTACTCCTACAGATCAAGCGTTCAAGGCAGGTAATTGGTTTTGGCCAAGCTGTGCACTTTTTACTCGGGATATTTTTGTCATATAAACCCTATTCTACAGGTAAGGACTGTGCTCTTTACACCATCCACTGCTTCTTCTAGGCTGCAGGAACTCCCACCTACAAAGCTGAGTGAAATATCAGCGTGTCCGTGTGCAGTCTACCCATATATCTGCCTACGGGCAGTTTCCAGCCAGTGGCAGTGCTGGCTCCCAGCTACGCAAGTTTGCCAGTGCATCTCACTTTCTGCTGGAGTTTCTTTCTCTCAGTAAAATAGGAGAATTATCCAGGGATAAAAGACTGGATCAGCATGCGTGACTGATTTAGGCCCTGTACCTCTTGGATGAGAAAAACAAACCAGTGGCCCAATGAGTGCTAACTCTGAACTTTATGCAAACTGAACGGAAACTGTCAATTCAGGGTATATAGGCTCTATCCAACCTCTGAGCAGCAATGGCTTCCACAACAGGCAATTCTGAACTGCATTTAAATCAGTAGTGTACAGCAGAATGATTCTGGAGGGGCACTTCCAATCCCTAAAGCCATTCAGCTTCTAGAAAAGTCAATTTAAAATAATATTCCACAAATGAGTGAAAAAAAAAAAAAAAAAAAGCCTATTTTTCCACCACAGATTCCATAGGTTATGGAATTTTTGAATGGTATGGTATTTTTAAGACTACAAAATCTTCACAACTCATCTTGTTAAATAATGCCTTTCCACTTTTCCCAAACAGAGCTTTGCCAGGAGGTACCCCCCGCCTTTGGCAGCAGTTCTGGGACTTGGGACACTTCTCTCTCATGCTATCCAGCCTTCAACAGTCACAATTTATGGTTCAGAACATTGCAGCCTACTGCCACGGAAATCTCAGACAAAGCAATACCAAGCGACAGGCCAACGGGACAACAGGCTGGAAGTCAGAGAGAGCGAGTGAACACGAACAAAACGTCAACAAGTCACTCAGAACGTTTTTAACCCTTCCAAAATAGCGTGGGAAGTTACATCATACAATCTGGAGTTGCTGAGCAGGGAGGTTGTCTGTGTGAATTCCACAGCACTCACATAGGAATCAACAATATGCCTAAATTCTCATTTAAGCAGTACTGAATCTAAGTGTTTCTGAAAGTAACTATTTCAGTAATTGATATTACTATATCTTCACAACAAAAAGCTCAGTATGACTCTGTACACTACAATCTCCAATATAAAGATGCATAGAGTAAGTCACACAGAACAATTCAGAGTTTTGTCCAAAGCTACAGTGACCCAAAAGCAGAACATTAAACTCTGGAGTTTCCTTTTGCCAAAGTTTAGCAACTAAATCATGCTCCTCTCAGTCAATCCACTCGTAATGCTTGTTTTATGAAGTTGTCCACATTCCACTAGAATCTGTTGCTGATCACAAATGAAATGCTGATAGATACTCTAGATAAAAATAGAGGATACAGAGAATTTTTGTGTCTCAATCTCTGCAAAGGATTCCTTTGTAGTCTATAATAAAAGACAGCTGTAAACATATACATACATTTGGGTTTGGCTGCATTGTTATCCTAGAGTACGTGTAAGGAAGTTCCCCGTACCAGGAGGTAAGCCTTGGTTCCTCAAAAGATACTTCTAAAAAAAGAAAAACAGGAAGACTTTCTCAGCTGCCTTATCAAAGGGCTTGAAAATGGAAAGATGATGCAATTCTGCCAAGAAACTTGACCAAAAAGGGACTGTCTACTCACCTAAAGTTAAAAAGCAGCCCCTTAAAATCCTCAGCCTTACATAGTGAACTCAAGCGAAGGAATGAGATTATTCAAAAGCAGGCCTGTCTCTGCAAGAGGAATTACCTTGCCAAAATCTTAGAACCACACTAATTTTCTCATCCCTATGCCAGACAGGGCAGGGACTGGACAAGTTAAAGATATAAATAAAATTGCAGTTTCATTTTGCTAATTCTGGCTTGTTTTATGTTCTCCTGGTTCCAGTGCCCAATACACTGGCAAAAGTTGCAAGATGTATCCACTGGAAAGGATGAAGTGGAAAGGACTGCAGCATCAATAGGACATTACAGAAGCAGAATGTAGCAAGGCTGGACAAGTAATATTTTGTCAAATATGCGTGTGCTCTGTGATGTAATACAAACATCAAGTTAAAAGTACTTTCAACTTCTGAAAAGACTATCTTGGTAGCTAGTTCTCATGCTTGACAGGTAACATTCTCCATTATACTGTACCTTTCTTGCAAACCAATAAACACAGGTGTTGAAGACATTGTCCAGCCCTGTCCAGTAACTACTCCAATATATTACCTTATATCCGTTCCTGACTGAAGAGAAATTTAGCTAGAACAGGTGCCCCTTAGCGAACAAATCCAGAATAGCAATCTCCTCACTTACTGCATACTGGAACTAATAAGCAAAGACAAGGGAAAAGAAACGTGTTCTGCTGGGATTTTAAGTGAGAGGGGCAAAAAATATTCTCGGCGACAGAAACCTCAAAGAACACAGTTTTTGCAGCATCACTGGGAGACAATATGAAGGGATGGAGCACAGACTTAATCTAAAAAAAGAGTCGGAAAAAGAACTGGAGATGACAGAGGAGGCAGTAAAATTCAAAGATTTTTAAGACAGGGAATTTTGATTTGGGAAGATCTCGTTTAATTGGCAATAGGAACATGGTGATAGAGACTGAAAAATAAGCAGCAGTACTCTTCAGATATGCATGGAAAACTTGGAAGGAAATATGTGGAATGGTCGTATGTAAAATTAAAAACAATGATAAACAATGCATGGATTTTGGTATGGAAATGACCTCGGAATGACCTGAAAAGTTGGTCTACACACCCCTTACCCTGTCTGATGTGAGTTCTCTGACCCCAGGGTATGTCTTGGAGGAGTTGTTCAAACATCCAGTCTGCTTGTTCTGAATCAATAAAGCCAGGAACCAAATGAATCCTAAGGAAGAAAAAGATAAAGAAAAAATGGAAGGAATATACACTTCTATATATGCTTTGATAAAATATTCTAATTTCCAGGTTTCCCAAAGGAGATAAGAATGGCTGTAATGCATCAGACTGAAAGTCAAAGCCCAGTACCCTATTTCTGACCACAGCCAAAAGCAGGTGTGAAGGAAACAACAGAAGGCAGCAGGAGCTCCTGATGAGTCTTCCCCTCACCAAACACATCTAATTGCTTTTTAAAACCTATAAAAACGCATGACACCAACAATATTCTACGAGTCCCATAATCAGCCATATACTGTGTGAAAAATGGCATCCTTCTGCTTGTTATTAACTTCCCATTTGATAAATTAGATCGCCCTGATTATGGTACTACAGTCAACATAAGTAAATAATTGCCCTTTATTCACCATCTCCATGCCACTCAGAATTTGATAGCCCTTTACCACTACTGCCATCCTAGCCTCTCTTTTCCAACCACAAGAACCCTAGAGCACTTAACCTCTCCTATTTTCACATTTTCATATGTACGTTTTATATTTTGACCGTACTAACAGCAGCATTCAAAAATTCCAGCCACTGTGGTGGGCTGCAGAGTAGGAATGCTGTTCACAAGAGGTTACTCTCACGAGTATTCAATGCTCCGAAGACATCACAATAAGAATACATATAGTAAAGGCACTAAAAGAGATGCAAAATCCGATTATTAACTTTCCAGAAATGTATATATTCCAGCAACATATTATGAAAAGAAACTCCAGAAAATGACAGAATAATCCAGCTGGCTGTGTATCTCTTCTCTTTCCAGCTGGTCAAAGCTTTTACTTTTCAAACTGGTATAAAACTTTATTTGCAGCTTTAGAAGAAACCAAGATGAAAGCTTTGAAATAAATGCACAAAAAGTTACTATGTCCTTGGCATTTTTTCCACTATTAATAAAACCTATCAAATCCAGAAGAAAGGGATTAACACTGATATTGCAGCTAAGTCAGCAAGGTAAAATAAAATGCATTTTAGTTAGTAGGAATCACAGAACAAGTAGGTTTTGTTTCGAAGTTTCCTGAAGCTGAAATAATGAAGGCATAGCATGTAAGCAAAAGGGACAACTCTAAAGTTATCAAATCTGCCTAAAGTGAAATGCTTTTATTAGATTAATTTAAAACAAGTCCAATTTACAGCTAAAAGTTTTTGGTGGCTCTTAACTATACAACACAGACATCACGCACTTGCTAACACTGGAATACCGATCCAAATTTCAAGCAGCAACTTACTCTGGATCGTGAAACAAACGGACGTAGCCCCTTCTCCTTATTCCAGACAAGAACACTAGATGCAGTAAGCACTAGATGTTAAGAGGTTCATTTTTCTTCTCTTCAGTGCTGCTCAGAACTGCGTAAGTCTCTGCTACCTGATACTCAAAGTATTTCCAGAAGTACTCTAAACAGAAGATACACAGGAAGGGCAATGTGCACCTGCTAGAGTCAAAGCACTCTGCAGAGACTAGACTTCAGAAAGCTGAGTATCGCTGCGTTATTCTGCAACAGCAAATTACAAGTTTCAAAAAACATGCAATTCACTTACCTAGAAATGCCAGTTGGTACTTTGCTGAGCTCATACACACCAGACTTGCTGAGGATGTAAGAAAGGAAAGAGCCATCAGATGGACAAACAACAAGAAGTTATCTTACACTGAGCAGCCATCGACTAGAACTGCTGTAAACCTGGACTAGGGAGAGTATTCTTTAAAAAGGAAAAGAAAAAAAGCTTGGCACTACTAAGGGAAGCAATAATGTTCTGGAGACAGTCAGAGGTCAGAATAAGGCAGCAAGGGGTGTTGCAAAAGCAAATGAGTTTGTGCACACTTCCTGCCTCTCTCTCATTTCACCAAAGGCTCAATACACAGTTTTAAGGCTCTAGAGATACGTAAACGAGGGATGCCACGGGGAATCTAAAGGAGACAACCATACAAGACTGCACCCTGACTGTTACGTTTGCGTTTACAGGTATACAAAAAACACGAGTGTAACTGAAGATGCAAAATCCTGTTTTCAGTCAGATGACCGATACCACCATTCTTCTAACAGCAAAGTGTTCATCAACCTGTGTGACACAGCGAAACCGACTTACAGGTATGTGAGCAGTATTTTAACTATTGTAGCTGGTACATAGGGTAAACAGTTCTTCCCTGTTACGAGTTGCATTCTCATAAAGTATTATTTACTCCTGTGCAAACTGCTTGCTTCACCTACTATCTCATTTTCTCCTAAGCTAGCTCCAAACTTTATACTGCTCGTTTTGCCTAGAACACTCCAGGAGTTAAACGCTCTCCAGCACTGCTTCTCCCTCAAAACAGTTCAGCAACTCACAAGATGATCACATACTCTGTTTTGCACTGTGCTCTATTTAAGAAAGCTAAATAAACAGAAACTTCTGATCACTTCCATAGTGCACGTGCAGAGCATAAACCATACTGTATTACCTACAGCACGTTGTTGTGATGAGAATAGCATCTCAGTTTGCTTCCTCTATATTTTTTTACTTGATTTGTGAATAAGTGTAACAAACGAAAGGTCAGTGAACCTTTAGAACACTTAACACACTGAATTTACTTAATATATAGATTTTATGTATGTTATTACTACTATGTTATTACTACTAATCATAAACAAAATGCAAAGAACATACGGCTGTATCATTCATACTGAAATGGAAAGTTAAAACATAAGCAAATCTGTTACAATCTGTAAGTGCTTCTGGGAAGTTCTGTAACTATTTCCAGCAATGTTTTTCATGACTCTTGACAGAAACACTTCTCACAAAGTAGTTCTACTCAATGAACTGTTCACTACCATGCTAGCAGTGGGAGGGCAGCTGAACACCTCATCTGCGTTATGCCTGCTCTGCATGAATACTCACCTCGCATCAAATCTGAAGTTGCTACAGAAAACTAACCCCAGATCCCTCAAAGTAAAAACAACATACAGCGAGTCAAAAGCTGAATCTGCAACTTGCCTCTTAGGAACCACTTAGTAAGGAAATTCTATCAAGATGACCAAACTGAAGCAAATTTAATTTTCAAAATCTGTAACTTCACCATACACCACCGCACCTTGTCACATTTCATGCCAAGGTTATTTTGAAAAGATCCCCATTTCAACACAAAGGGTAAGTGATCTACAGTGTGTGAATATCTAGCTTCACTATGACACTTAGTAGCAGCTACTCTTCCGAACCTTCAAAGGAAGCGCTGCTTGAGTTGCCATACTGCCTATATTCCTGGATAACGGTAAGTAATTTCCAGCATAGTTTACACAGGGCCTGTCCTAGGAAAACGTACATCGCTGACCAAAGGCGACATATTTGTAGTTCTGTTGGTCCAGAATGTCCAACTGTTTGTTCTTCCTGGCTTATACAGCTACACCAAAGCTATAAAACCTAGCTAACACAGACTCGGACTCTCCTGATTATAAATTCAGTTCAGGATAAAAGGGCTGAAAGTCCACGTTTTGTACTGAAATTTCTTCCAAAGGCATGGCAGTTGCAAGTAGAGAAGGAACTCTTTTTCAGCAGGTTCCCACTGACCAACAAGACAGAAAAACCGCACGAAGGACAGTTAAGTCAGCAGTATACTCACTCTATCACACCTGCCTCAGGGACTTTGCGCTCCACCTGAAAGGTAACAAGACAATACATGGTCAATGTTAAACATTTAAGTACCTGGCATGCTCTAGCCAAACAGAAGTAATTGCCATCTCTAGTGACTCTATATAGCTGCATACTGATATATCAGTGACAAAAACATACCTCTGGAGAGTTGGTAAGCAGTAACAACCCACCCACTCTCTCCATGCCCCAGCAACTCTCAAATGCAGCTACCAATGCAGGCAGTTTTTAACAATCAACTGCCCCCTAAAGGACATTAATTTCCAAGTTGTTTGGATTATTACAATCCTTGCTGTTTATCAACTGCAAAAAAAAAAAAAAAATTCTTATCCTTACATTTGGAAGTAAAAATCTAGAGCAACTATAGGAGGGATGAACAAATCCCAGGCCCCAGACAATGAGCAAAACACAAGACAGGCCAGACACAGCAGGAGCCGACACTTCAAAATTGTCTGCACAGCTTGAGATAGCTGTTTTTTGTTAAAACAAAAAAAAAAACAAAAAACAATGACAGTAGTTTAATCCAACCCGGTCCAGCCTGGATTATCATTCTGGTTGTCTCAGGGATTTATGCTCCTCTTCTCTGAGCTCAGTGGAGTGCTGAGATGCAAGGAGGTACTGAGTTGAGCAAGCAAAATATATAGATACCAGGGTTCTGCCACAGAGAAAACAGAATCTTCCCAGACTGTCTCCAATCCTTCCAAGCCAAGAAGACAGCCTTTTAAACGCTTCTGGCTTAAAAAGAAGTGTTGGAGATTTTTTTTCCCAAGCAAGGAACTGCCCTCCTGCTGCACAGAGCACAATATCCTTCATCTGCTGACAGGACATAAAGCAAAGTCCATAAAACAAATCCCATGCTCTTCCCCTGTAACAAGTAAGACAGATACCCCAACAGAGGGGAAAAAACAGAGCTTAAATCATGCTTAGGACATTGCATCATTCTGAATATTTAGGAGAACGTATTCTTTTGGCTCTCCGAAAAAAAGCAGTTATAATCAGGTACGTAATGGAAGTCTGAGGCTAAACAGAGGGACTGTAACTTTCTGTTTGCCATATATGCAAGACAGTTGCAAACTCTGCTTGGTAAAAGCCCGAAGTTCAGCTCAGCTGAGTTTTTAATTTGTTTTTAAACATGAGACTATAATCTCAAAGTCTGATAATTTTTATCCTTTTTGAAGTTTAATAAAAGCTGAGATTCTACTAGTTACTGTGTAATTTTTACCTCTGATGGTTTTTCAAAGACAAATTGCTTTTCAGCGTGAGGCTGGTCTTTCCTCACCCATGCCGGTCTGGCGCCTGCAGGGGCAGGGCTGCTGGCCACAGGCGCCTTAGGTGCTAAAGCAAAGAGAAAAAAAAAGGATCACATGAAATAGAATTTCATCATACAAAAAATACAGTTTGGAAGAACTTATGGAATCATTCTTTGAAGTATTCTCCTCTGCTTGGCAGAGACTCCAGGGAACAGCCAAACCTACATTACGTGAGAGTTAAAATTGCACAGAAACTGGAATTTTTTTATATGTGTTTGTTATTCATAGACAAATAAAAATGAAAACATCCTTTTATCAGAAAGGATAACACCTGGAACCTTCCAATTCTACCACAAACACCTATCATATGCCAGCAGAAATTTTCCCAAGCAGCTAAACTGCTTCCCTCCGCAATTTTTTTTAGGAAACAAAAAGGCACTTCTCTGAGAAAAATACTTTTATTAAAAAGATTTTCAAACTAGGAAGAAAGTATGGAAGAGCAACTCAAGCATACCACTTCATGTGTTTTATTTACACATGTGAAAAGGCTTAAAAATGGGCCTCAAACAGAAACAAAATAAAAGTCTTCACTCTGCAAAATTCAAAAGATGGGAAAAATAATTTTTAAAAATCCCCTTAGGAAAAGGTAGAATGAAACGCACCTGTGACAGAAAACTTACAGGCTACATGCAGAAGTCACAACAGTCAGCTAATTTTTTTCAGGATTAAAAAAAAAAAATCAGCTTGCCTAGTACCCTCAGTCTGCAGAGAAATGGGAGCTTTATTGGATATTGTAATCAGGCAAGTGGAACACGGTGTTTTGACCACGTTCGCAAAACAAACCAGTCCTCCCTGCAAGACTGGAAACCCACACCGCGCTCTCCTGCCTCTGCACTCTTCGGCTCAACGTTTGATACGAAACAAGGACATTAACTCCAGCCCTTCCAACTAGCGCTCTTTATTTTGCAATGTTTTCACTGTGAAAAGGTAGAGGAAGACACATAGTAAGTTTTATCAATAAAAAGTGACTAATAGTTATTACAGAACTTAGCTCCACCAAATTCTATCCGTCTCGTTCAACTTGCCCAAAGATGAGCGTAGTACGCCTACTTAAGCGCGTGCATTAGAAACACATCTACACACGTACGCAGCTGACCCTCTGTTCCCTGTCCAAAATCGCTACAACATATCTGCGACATACATAAAAATTTTACTTAAAAACTCGGTTCGAACACCTGAACTTTAGTCACCCAGAAAAACCGGACGGCCGCTCAAGGCCTCACACTCCTCCCCGTCACCCAGCACGGTCAGAAAGAGCGGCCAGGAGACGGGCGCGGGTCGTTCCAGGCGCCCCGCAGGCGCCCTCGCAGAGCCGGGCTCAGGCCGTTCCGCTCGGCAAGGAAAGCCACGCAAACTTCCAGCCGCACGTCTAGAGGCTCGCAAAGCTTCGCCGGTTATCTTTCGCCTCAGCCCACGCCAGGCCTAGGGCAGCACTTTTCTCCATACCGTCTGCAAGGCAAGGGCAAGGCGGCCCCA